TTTAGCTTAAATCTGCCTTCTTATAATCTCACCTGGGTTCTGCTGTGTCCAGTGATCTGGAATACATGGAATTCTCTTCTTTACAGAGGCTCCCTCAAACCTTGTGGCACAGCACTAAAGGAAGAGTGTAATAACTAATGTGTACATATCACTGGGCTGTTGACAGAGTCCTCTGTGTTCTTTTGTCGTGTCCTCCAACTTGCCTAGTCCTTGATAGCAGTCATGGTTATTTTTACAGGGGAGGACATGGTTATTTTTCAGGAGGACGTTCAGATAGTGACCTTCCCAAGGTCACTGGGAAGATAAATGGCAGAGCTGGGATTTCTGAGAGGAGGACTTAAAGCACTAGACCAGGTGTGTGAGTTTCCTAGGGCTGCCTTAAAAGAGTGCCTCATCCTGGGGGACTTACAACAACATGGAAATGTATTCGCTGCTCTGGAGCCGTGAGCAGCGCTATGCTCCCTCCCAAGGCTCTGGGGTCAATCCTTTCCTGCCTTTTCAAAGATCCGAGGAAAACCACACCAAGTACCTTTGGATCCAAGTCCTTCCCCAGCCAGGTTGTCAGAATTCAGGCTTCTCAGGGGTGGGGAGAGGGTTTGTGAGCTTTCCCCTCAGAAATCAAAGCAGAGAGGGAAAGTCAAGGGTATGCATGACTGTCTTGGTCAAGGGCGGCCACAGCAATACCACAGCAATACCACAGGCATAAGCAGCAGAAAGTTATTTCTCACAGTTCTAGAGGCTGAGAAGCCCAAGATAAGGTGCCAACAGATTCAATCCCTGGTGAGAGCCTGCTTCCTGGCCAGTGGGTGGTCTGTTCCTTGCTGTGTTCTCACAGGGCAGAGAAAGAAAGAGAGAGAAGGAGAGGGAGAGGGAGAGAGTAGGAGGGAGGGAGAGAGGTAAAGATAGAGAGGGCGAGGAAATTCTGATGTCTCATCCTTTTCTTATAAGGGGACCAGTCGTATCTGCGGGCTCACTCTCATAACTTCATCTAAAACCTAATTATATTCCAAAGGTCCCATATCATAACATTGGTGGTTTAGAGTTCCAACATATCAGTTTGGTGGGGTTTGGCGGTGGGGGGAGAGGGACACAATTCAATCCATAGCACTGACCCTGTGAGCAGGGAAGTTAGGATCCATAACCAGAGAGCAGAGACAGCTAAGGTGAAGTCTGTAGATTTCCTTCATTTTTGGTGGTCTCCCCTGGGAGCTTTCCCTTTAAAAAGAAGTAGGTCCATGGGGCGCCTGGCTGGCTCTGTCCATGGAGCATGAGACTCTTGATATCAGGGTCATGAATTGGTGTAGAACTTATTTAATAATAATAATAATGAAAATAATAATAATAATAAAGTAGGCGTATGTTCTTGCTTTGGGGCAGCAAGAAGAAGAGCAGGTTGGGGGACAGGGTTCCATGACAAAGGCCAGAAGAGAGAGATAGGGAGGAGGGCAGGCAGACTGACAGGGGGAGTGGCAGGGAGAAAGGAGAGAAGGGTTCGTTGGTCTTGACTGGTAAAGGGTTTCAAGGTGTATTAATATACAGATACATCATCCCATGTTATGGCTGCAGCCATAGGGCCATGGAGTTGGCATTCTTGGGTGTGGTTGATGGAACCAACTGCATCTCAAACTGGCTTAAGGAGACAAAGGAACTTAAGACCCTTATAACTGAAAACTTCAGGCATGGCTGGATCTAGGTGCTCATATGGTATCCTCACACATTCCCATTTCCTAGTTCTGCTCTGGCTTTTCTGCCAAGGCAGGGGCTCCTTGAGTGGTGGGAAACCGCAGCAACCGTAACTACCGCAAATACAACAGGACCGTGGTTGCTGCTGTGGAAAGTGCTTCAGGGACGGATTGTGCTGCCCGCTCCACTTCATCACCCCCTTCTGACCCATGCCCTTTGCAAGGTTCACCAGGCTTGGGCACATGACTCGCCTGACCCAAAAGCATATGGCAGAAGTGACAGGGGCAGCTCCAAGCCTAGGTCTCCAGATGCTTGTCCCTTTCTCTTAACTCTTGTGCTCCGGCCATTCCCATATGAAAACATACCCAGGCTGGCCCTCTGGTTCCAGGAGGGGGATGAGAGACACATGGGGCTGAGATGAATTACCTCTGCCAAGGCAACCCTAGACAAGCCAGTCGCCTGTCCCAGGCAAGGTGGGAAGGCTGAACGTGTATGACACATGAACAGTCAACATGACAGATGCCACTAAGATGACAAAATGTAACCCTTGTAGTTTCTTTCCCAACCTTTCCAGCAGCGGCCCCCAGTCATCTGCCCGAATCCAATCCATCCTTTGCATTTCTCCCCCTACATGGGCTAAAATTGGGAAGAGTTGGATTTTCAAAGGGAAACTGAGGGGTTGATTACAGAGAACACAGAGAAGTCACTCAGGCATTACTTAGAAAATGTTCCTCATGCATGAACCATTTTCTCTGTAGTAGATTTGAGGGTGGAAGTCCTTCTGCCCCACTAACAAAGTAAGGAGCGTGCCTTCCTGGTCCCTGTGGGGGACCTCATCCTCTGGTGGGGGAATTGTCGAGTCTGAGCCCATCTTAGTGATGTGGGAGAGTCGGCTCTGTATGAAGGCGTGCACCCAAGTCTCTCTCCACGCTCTGGCCTCAGAGGACCCGTTTCCAGCTCTGCCCCTCGTTTCCTCCGAGCATCCTGCTGACATCCCTCAGCTTCCTTCTGCTCAAGGATTTTCCTGCACACATAGACAGTAAAAAGAAACATTCCCAACTTACTGTTGTGAGCCCCTATCTATGCCCCTCTCAGCAAATATTCAGAGAACATGAATTTTACCATAAATGTCTGAATCTAAGGTGAGGTTTTTTCTTTTTTCCTTCCCAAAATTGTGCCTCAGAAAAGAGGGAACTGCCTTATTTTTGAAACTGTCAAATTCTCTCTCACTAAGGGGTACTCTCTCATTTTCCTTCTTTGGGTCAACACTTGCCATGCTTTTACTGTTTGGGGAAGGTTACCTGTCAAGGCTGCAAATCCATGCTGGTTTGGTCTGCCTCTATAGGTCACCCCACAACATCAGAGTTGTTTAAGACAGAATCAGAAAATATAGATGCAGTGACAGTTTTTGGTGGTATAATCTCATGAACTCAACTGCAAATTTTGTAAAGAACTCTTTTAATGATCACAAATCTGTACCTATAAGAAAAATTTTTAAAGATTTTATTTATTTATTTGAGAGAGAGCAAGAGTGAGAAAGATCACAGAGGCAGAGGGAGAAGCGGACTCCCTACTGAGCAGGGAGCCCTATGCAGAGCATGATCTGAGCTGAAGGCAGATGCTTAAGACTGAGCCACCCAAGTGCCCCAAGAAATTTTTTTAAATAGAAGTGTTAATGTTAATGAGAATGTGTAGCTAAGTCTTGAGATAAAATTCCCCGAAGTATCAACACAGCTAGATCTAGAGTTTTCTATCCAGATGACGAGCTCGTGCACATAAGGTGCTCCGGCAACCTGTGCTGGGCAGTTTGAATAGGGCCCTTATTACGTCAAAGACCAGATACTATAGGTGAAGGTGAAGGATTTAAGTGAAACTACTGGATGAAATGTGCATGGAAAAATGCAGTGTTTCTACATTAAGACACCACAGAGCGTAAGTGTGTGATGTTACCATGGGTGTGTAAATCAATTCTTCAGTACTGTAAGAGACATTTGACTAGTCCATCTACAACTCTGTGGGTGTAGATGTGTGTATACTATCATGTCTTGAAGTTGGTTCGACTGATTACTCCTACTTTAATATTTTTCAAAGTTCCTGTAGCTATTCTAGTTCCCTTGCTTTTCCTATGAATTTCAGAATATCATTTTTATCTACAAAAATCTGGCTGGGATTCTGATAGAAATTATGTTAAACTTTTTGTTTCTGAAGATTTTACTTACTCACTTGAGAGAGAGAGAGAATTAGCTGGATGGTGGGGAGGGGCAGAGGGAGAGGAAGAAGTAGGCTCTCTGCAGAGCAGGGAGACCAACGCAGGGCTGGAGCCCAGGACCCTAGAATCAGGATCTGAGCCAAAGGCAGATGCTTAACCAAATAAACCACCCAGGCACCCCTGAAATTGTATTAAACTTGTATATGCACTAAACCTGGGGAGAACTGATATCTTCACTATGTTGAGTGGTAGTAACAGTCTCTGTGTTTATTCAGAGCGTTGATTTTTTTCATTAGCATTTTGTTGTGTTCTGCATACAAGTCCTGTACATATTTTGTTAGATTTACACCTAAGCATTTCATTTATCTGAGCAGTTGTGTTTTATTTCTAGTTTGGGTGTTCATGGGATCATTCTTAGTACACAGAGGTATGATTGGTTTTGTGTGTTTGTTTATCTGGTATCTTGCAACCTTGCTGAACTCAATTTCAGCTGGAATTATTTTTGCAGACTCCTTGGCATTTTCTATGTAGACCATCGCGTCATATGCAAAGAGGGACAGTTTTGTTTCTTTCTTTCTGATGTATAAATGTCGATGAATACGCAACTACAACTTGCAACGGGAAGCGTTGCCCAAGAGGTAGAAGAGGACAGTGTGACTCTGACTTTGGGGAAAAAAAAAGAAGAGGATTTTTTCCTCAAACGGGGTTGTTGCAGTCATTTCTGTTGTCAGGTGCTGCTGGTGGTGATGCTGCCTTTTGGTCTGAAAACCCCACCAAATCTTTGCTCCAGTAATCTCATCTTCAGGCTGTATTCTTATGGGAGGAGGGTACTAGAGGTGCTGAGGGTAAAGCAGAAGATAGGTAAACTTATTGCACAGGTCCAGCAAATTGCCGGCAACCCCCCAACCCCCGCCCCCTACTGCCCAAATCCCTACCCCTGCCGGTCCACCAGAGAGGGATCCCTTTTAGGGAAAGCCAGGGCAGAAGGGACTGCTTTTTCGGGGCTCAGTTCCTCCAAGGAGCATGGGGGCGCTGTGAGTCCTCGCGGAGCACGGCGGCACTCTTTCTCAGCCTCCTTGGTAGGACTGAGACTTTCGGGACGGTGGCGGGAAGATGGCGGCACCTAGGGATTGGCTGGGAACCGTAGAGGCAGAGGGGATCGCGGGTCGTCAGGGAAGCTCGGGAGTGGAGGTGGTATTTCCTTCCGATCCCGCCACACCCGCCCCGCTGTGCCCTCACGGTGGGTGTGCGTCTGGGTTCAGCAGAGCGGTCCGGCGCGAAGGGCGGAGGTTAGCCTGAAGATGCCTTGGGCTTCTCAGGGCCCCCACACTGTTTTCCCAGATTTTTACCTTCCTCTCTTTTCACCACAGGTGATGCTGAAAAATGCCCTTTTCCGGGGACGTAGTGTTTTCACTTTACTTAAGAAAGTGTCATAGAAAGTCCTCACTGTGGTGGTTTTGGCTCCGCGGCTGTTATATTTTATTTTTCCCCTAAAGGGAAGAGGCGAGCTAGGCAAAGGCGATGCATGTTACTGAGTGAATCCGTTGTCAGGTATTTGGGGGATTTCATTGGTTGTTTTGCTATCCTTTTATGTTAAAAAGTTAGGAAGAAGGATAGCATGAATTGCTCAGAAACCAGACCCAGTTTTTCTGTTATTTGTGTAGAGAGTATGTGTCCAACTCCAAAAGCCCAGATTTTCATCGAAATGATAATTGGATGGAGGTGGCAAAGTGCTCCGTTCTCTGGATCCCTTCCAGATTTTAGTCTCAATACCGGATCATTCACTACGTAGACAGCAACTGACAATGGCATTTTCTTTCTGCAGAGACTAGTTTTCAAGAGTTAAGTCTCAAGTGATCAGTGCCTAAATATAATAGGTTAAAAAAAGTAATTAAATGGAGTGGTGGGCTTAATTATGACAAATTGTGCATAAAACCAAATCAAGTTTTATTTAAGGGTGGTGAAAACTAGGTGCTTGATGTAGATGACTCTAGTTTTACATGTTTCCCCCCCCCCCATTCTGGAACTAGGACCCACTCTTCTGTTTGTAAAGGTGAACCAAGGGAAAGAAGAAACGCGGAGATTCTATGCCTGCTCAGCCTGTAGAGATAGAAAAGACTGTAATTTTTTTCAATGGGAAGATGAAAAGGTATATCAACTCCTTAGGCATATTTAAAAAAAAATTTTGAAGTATGTGACAATTTGAGAATGTCTAAACCAATAAAAACATGCAACTTGAGCATTAAATGAGGTAAATCTCTTTAGATAATTGAAGATACTTTCGTTTTTGGTTTGAGAGATTGGAGTTTATGCTTACTCTAAACTTAATCTACTCTGAGTACTGATGTTGTAAACTGTCTCAAATACCATTCGTTTTTAAGACAATGAGGTATCATACTGGTTGGGTTATCATTTATTTATTTATTTGAAAATACAGATTTCTCCATAAAGAGTTTAGGTTGTGATCATTCTAGGCAGTGTTTTAGAAAAACATTTAAAAAAAAAAAAACATTTGCATTGAACATCCTTTATACAGCTACTGTATAACCACTGAAGGCACTTAGAGATTTGGCTATGAGCTTGGTATCCCTTGGACTCAGCTCTAATTAGAGTTTTGGAAAGTTTTGCCTAGAAAAATTTCAGCTGTCTTAGATTTATTGGAAAACAGCCTTGTTTACCACTTCTGTACACCTGTTAAAATCACCATGTGTGAGATAATCTCGTAGTCTTGCTTTAATATGTTAGGTATTGCTTCATAGTACTCTAGAACTTTCCCAGTTTAATGTGTTCTGTTTTTATTTTTCCCTGAAACAGATGCTTGTTTACAACATTGAGCTGCTTTAATTGGCTTTTTAATGTTAGCATGCAAAACCAGTTTTTCTAGGATGGTAGCAAGTTTGATAGTTTATTAAATGATGTTTTTATTCCTTTTCAGTTGTCAGGAGCTAGACTTGCTGCCCGAGAAGCTCATAACCAAAAATGCCAGCCTCCTCTCTCCCGAACGCAGTGTGTGGAAAGGTGCTGATGTGTTATCATTTTTATTTATTGTTTTTGTTTTCTTTTTCCCTGTACCTTTGCATTTACTTTCATTTAAAAAAAAATTATTGTGGTAAAATATATATTACATAAAATTTGTCATTTTAATAATTTTAAGTATACAGTTCAGTGGTGTTAATTATATCCACAATGTTGTGCAATTTTCACCATTACCTATTTCCAAAGCCTTTTCATCACTCCAAACAGAAACTCTGTTATTATTAAGCATTGACTCCTCATTCCAATTCTTCCCAAACCCTGGTAACCTCTACTGTACTCTGTAGATTTGACTATTCTAGCTACCTCATGTAAGTGGAATCAAATATTTGCCCTTTTATGCCTGCCTTATTAACACGATTTCAGGGTTCTTCCATGTTGTAGTATGAGTCAGAACCTTCTTTTTATGGCTGAATAATATTCCATTATATACACATACACCACATCTTGATCTGTTCATCCATCAGTGAACACTTGGGTTGTTTTTCCCCTTTTGGTTGTTGTGAATAATGCTCCACTGAACATTGGCAGGCAAATATCTGTTTGAGTCTTTGTATTCAGTTCTTTTGCGTACATATCTAGGATTGGATTTATTGGATCATATCGTAATTCTGTGTGTAGTTTTTTGGGGAACCACCAAACTCTTTTCCACATTGGCTGCACCATTTTACATGTCCCACCAGCAATGTACCAGGGTTCCACTTTCTCCGTATCCTTGTCAACACTTACTATTTTCTGGTTTTTTTTTTTTTTTTTTTTAATTATCTTAGTAGTTGTGAAGTGATATGTCATTGTGGTGTTGAATTTTGGGTCCCTGATGAGTAATGATCTTGATTATCTTTGTGTGCTTATTGGCCATTTGTGTATCTTCTTTGGAGAAATGTCTATTCAAGTCCTTTGTTCATTTTTAAAAGGATTGTCACTTTTGTTGTTGAGTCATGGAAGTTCTTTATATGTTAAGGGATTTATGCCCTTAACAGATGCAAGATTTGTACAAGCTCTCTCCTGTTCTGTAGATTGCCTTTTCACTTTCTTGATGATGTTCTTTGATGCACCAGAGTTTTTAAATGTGATGAAGTCCCAATTTATCAGATTTTTGCTTTTGTTTTCTTTGCTTTTTGGTAATATAGCCAGGAATCCATTGTTATATCCACTGTTAGGAAGATTTACCATACTATTTCTTTTTTGAAATATTAATAAAACTAAAACATTTTTTGAATGCTGTGAACATCACTTTTTAAAAAGCTACATTGTTGAAATGTTTTATTGGGTGACTGGGAGTTGAATCCTAGATTTAACTCTTTGGAGACGTGTGAAAAGCCACCTCTTCCTATGTCATAGGTCTTATTTGTGTATGCTGGGAGAGGCTCCTTAAGAAGCCCCTGGTTTGGGTTGTTGGAGGTTTTTCCTCTCAAGGCAACTCCTTTGGTTACCTGGGCTGCCGTGTTCAGAAGGATTCTGAGGTCTTTTCTATGTTAAGTGGAAAGGAGAACTGGGCTCTATTAAAAATACCTTCTTGAACTTTTTACATTTTGAAGTCTTTTGATGGAGTAGGCTGTTTCTTAAGATAACTCGATCACTCCTAACCCAAGTACTTAATCAGTGATAACTACTTACTACATGGAAATTCAGTCAACAACAAAACATATTTACAAGGGAATTGTAAATTTAGCACTACTGTGAGCTGGCTAGTGTGCTGTGTTTGACATGAGAATTACTTAATCTTGCTAAGGTAGTTTACTTAGATGAGAAAATTGAGGCCTGGAGAAGTTGAGTGACTTCATTAAGCTCTTACTGCTAAAATGACTTAGCAGTGACTCCGACTTACGCCTCTGATTCTAAAATGTTATTTTTAAACATAAAAGCAGATAGTAATTAACATATGATGTGTAATGATTTAAGGAGATTTAAGAAGTTAAAACGTGAGTTATATAGAGATATAATGAGATTATCATAATGACATAAAATGGAATATCAAAGATGCAGAAAGTAGAAAGCAGAAAAACATCACTGGTGGTTTTTCCTTTTGAACCCCTCACCTTGTTCATTTTGTAGTATTTTCTCCTGACCTTTTTTACCTGTACCAAAGTTTGTTTGTTTGTTTGACAAGGTCATTGCCTTAATGCGTACATAATCTCCTGTACTCTGCGTTATGGATTTTATCTGATAAGCCTGTTTTTATGTTATGACTTAAGGATATTGATGATTCAATTAAACTCTATAAGAAATCTAGGTGATCTTGTTTCCTTGTGTAACCAAATTTTAGTCTGGAGCTAAACCACTGTTCTGTCTTTGTAATGCCAGGGTGTGTTTTTTTGATAATAATTTTGGAAATTCATATTTCATGTTAATTAGAAAAAAACTGGCTAAAATGTGAAATATTAAAGAATTTTCAAAAGTTTATTTCTTGGAGGTCATACTCTCATCTCTAATCTAGTGTCGATTCTTGAGAGCATATCTTAATATTTTAAATCATCATTTTAAATCATCTGTAACTCATTAACCTTGGATTTTGTTACCCAGGCTTGCTTGCTTGCTTGCTTCCTTCCTTCCTCCCTCCCTTCCTTCCATCCATGTATTCATTCTTTGAGGACTCAAAAAGAACTTAAAATGCTAGTACTGGATTTGAGATATGTAAAGATAATGCAGTGCTAAGAAGAATATGCTAAACATAGAAATAGTGATAAGAAAAACCGAGTGCTCTAGAGTCAGCATCGATGCTGCTACCTTGTGCCATTGCTGATCAGTACAGTTTAAGGACACGAGACTTGAACAGGTCTTGGAGGATTGGGAGAAGTTGAAGCTTTTTGACAGGTAGTGTCACTGATTTCGCTGCCCCCCTTTGTGATTGATGCTGTCATGCTTGCTTAGGGGATTTCTGTGGAGTAAAACATTTGAAATCAGTCATTCCTCTAAAAATTTAAACTTTCGGCTTTTTAAAATCCGAAGTTTACTAACGGACTTAACTCCATGTTATTAAGTTACCTATTCTCTTAGATGAGAGAATTGAGACTAGCCGTTCATCCTTGTGTGTAAAGGAACCTAAGAATGGTGTACTGTTACTCGAGATCGTAACTGTTTTCGAAGTTAACTTTCTACAACTCATTTATAGATTATATTATAAAATAAGTAGTCCATTTGAAAGTATTAAAATGCATTTAAACATGATTTCTCTTCTATAATGCAAGCCTTCATCTGTCACTGTGGAGTCACAATAGCTTTTCACTGATAATTTCTCTTCCAAATTTTTAGAAAGGAATTATGGTAGCAAGCAAGAAAAATGGGCCCGTGGTATTTGATTTTTATGACAGAGCTGGGACTGCTCCACAGATGTCTAGGTGCTACAGAATGGGATTTGATAATTCGTTTTTTTAATCTCACTCTTTGAACCATGCTTTATATTTCATGTGCTCAGTTGACAGATTTACCTTTTGTGTCTGAGATTTGACTTTCCTTATAGTTGTTAGCTTCCTGTTATGCCTTGAAATGTTATTCTATTATGTAGTATGTTGGCACCTTATTGTGACCTATGAAGTCTTAGAGAAGATCTATTTTAATGCTAAAATAAGTATTAATTTATGTGCATCCATATAGTTTTGTTTAGTTGATATTTCATTTGGTTATGTGTTTTCAGAGCTCATTTAAACTCAGATTTTCAAGGTCTGCTATTAGGGAAATGCCATAAACATAATTCGTCTACTCTAGGAAAGGCAAATGGAACATCAAACGGAGATCAATAAAAATGACATTTCAAAATGCTAGCCTGCAAATTGTGAATCATGCTGAGCCCTGCGGCAGACTGGATTTCTTCTGCCCACCCCGGGTCTGTGCAGAAAGGACAACGAGGAGGTGGCGCTGAGTAAGCCTCAGCCTTCCACTCGCGTGTTCTTCCTCCCGTACTTTGAAAAAGGCTTGTTTCTGAGTGCAAAATTTAAAGCAGTGTCCTTGAATGATTATGATGTGATTTTGAATAGAAAGAAGTACACACAAGATCTCTGTTTATCTTTTGTCAGGAAAAGGTTAATAAACTAGCAGGAAAGCTTTCTGAGGAACAGTTTTGACAAGGCACAAAGATATGTAAGTGGAGGTTCATTTAACAGTATTTTTTTTCCCTTTGTTTAAAAGCGATTAAACTTGGAGACCTAAGCACTGTCAGACAGTCCTGCGTATGAGCAAATTATACCCCTGTCCTTCATGGTTTCAAACTGTCTTTCATCTCTTCCTGGTGATTTGGCAGCTTCTCTTGCCCTCAGTGGCCATCATGAGGTGAGGGCGAGGCAGTCCTTCTGATTGTGTTTAAGTAACAGAACCTGACACAGTTCTGTCTATGGGGATCTTCCCTCTCTTTTTTCCTGTAAAGCCCTTGATTGTTGTCATTCTTTCAAGGATGAGTGTTTGCTTCCTAATAATCAAACGTACACTCTGTTGCTCGATTGTGGTTCCTGACTGCATGTATGATACCTTTGTGTTTTGGGACTGAAATTGATGCATCAATTTCAATTTCAGGTCTGAGGCCAACCTGATTTTTACCACCCAACAATACACCCTACTCGCTTGTAGTTCCAACAGTCTGTTGTGCTGAGTCGAAGAGATGACAGCATGAAGGGCTGGGACAGGTTTGCACATTGGGGGACCATCCCAGCTACGTCATGACCTCAGTCTGGCTGATGGCATTATATAGCCTATCTCTATGTTGAAGATGCTAAAATGTGAAAACGTGCGTCTTAGAAGTGATGAAATGGGATGGTTGGATTTTGCTTTTTGATCCGGTCCATCGGGGTTTCTTTTCATGGGTAGATTTAGCTCATTTGCAGACTGGATATAACAGATGTGCTTGATCTTGGTTTTGCTGTATTATTTTATGCTTTCTGGTTTCCTTGCTTCTCTTTGCTCTTTCACTATGTGGAGTATGTTTTCTCTTTTTAATATGTTTCTTTTTTCCTTTGTTTTTGTTTTTGTTCTTATAATTGCCTTTGTAGCTTTTT